CTCAGCAATTACTCGGAGGCACCGAGGGGATGCAGGTGTGCAAAATTCATGTTGTCTTCAATCTCAGAAGGCCTATCTAGATTATTTCTCTCATTGAGCAGACGACTCTGCAGACAACTTGTTGGACACTTCACGTGGCATAAACATCTGGCTGTAATAGGCGTAAATGACAATTACATTTGCCCACCCTGCCTTGAAGAGGATGAGAGGGTGGAACACTTTTTGCTTGCTTGGTTTGATGGATTTACTAGCGGTAAATCCTGCAAGTGTGTAATCACATTATTTTAATAAATAGAAGTAGAAAATAATATAAAGAAAATATTTTAGTTTTATTTTGGCCACTCCGAGTTTATTTTTTGAATTCACCCGCGATGCAAATTTAAAAAGTTAGATCTAAACTTCACATTTAATTTTTTACGAGCTTTGGGAGTATTTAGAAATGTATCAGCAGGGGGTCCATCGAAATCAGTAAATCTTTGAAAGGGGTCTACGAGAAAAATAAGTTTGGGAACCTCTGGGCTATGCTAACATCCTGAAATTTGATACGACAACATATGTTGTCAATACCGAGCTTACGGCGAAAAGTGGTAGATTTTGGAAAGGGGGCGTGGCACCGCATATACAAACTGAAATTCTCATCGCTTATCTCAGGAACCGCTTATGCTAACTTCCCGAATTTTAACACTGCAACATATGTTGTCAATACCGTACTTGAATGATTGTTGTTTTATGCAAAAGTTTTTAGAAGGATCAGTGTGTTTATCTTCCGTTTGTTTCACTTTTACAACACATATTAGTAACATAAAATTTGGTGTAACTTGGTAGCCCAGTCGTGTGATGAAAAAATATAGGGCTTTTGCCCAGTCTTGACGAAAACCCATGTAAAACCGCCGTTAGAGAAGGATGTATTATTTCTTGTTGTAAACCTTCAACACACTTTCGTAACTGCTAAAGATTCTGTTGAAAAAAGGAAGAGTTTATGTAGATGTGGGCAATTTAGTTTTTAACCTCCACGAGGCTCTCAGACAAATATATGTAGTAGAAAAATTTATTTATAGTCTGAATTGGTATATGTTTGACATATTAGTCAGTGATGAACATCTCATCTATACATAGATACAAATACATATGCATATTTTTTATAAATGAATATCGAGGTTGCGGTCTAATTTCAAAAGCGACTGAAGAAATTTGGAGGAGACTTGATAGAATTAGCATTAATCAATCCGGTATTAACGTTCGTTATTCGATTTTAATTGGGGGACTTCCAAATAGTAATTCGCATAAAGGAGTAAGTATTGGTGACAGGCCAAAGTCATAACTGTATGAAAAAAGATGTCGAATTTCGACAACTGGGCGATACTAGTAACGGGTGATTTTTTTGAGGTTAGGATTTTCATGCATTAGTATTTGACAGATCACGTGGGATTTCAGACATGGTGTCAAAGAGAAAGATGCTCAGTATGCTTTGACATTTCATCATGAATAGACTTACTAACGAGCAACGCTTGCAAATCATTGAATTTTATTACCAAAATCAGTGTTCGGTTCGCTTTACGTCCGATTTATGGTCTACATAATCGACCAAGTGAGCAAACAATTAATGCGATTGTGACCAAGTTTCGCACTCAGTTTACTTTATTGGACATTAAACCAACCACACGAATGCGTACAGTGCGTACAGAAGAGAATATTGCGTCTGTTTCTGAGAGTGTTGCTGAAGACCGTGAAATGTCGATTCGTCGCCGTTCGCAGCAATTGGGTTTGCGAAACACATTTCGAACCGAACACTGATTTTGGTAATAAAATTCAATGATTTGCAAGCGTTGCTCGTTAGTAAGTCTATTCATGATGAAATGTCAAAGCATACTGAGCATCTTTCTCTTTGACACCATGTCTGAAATCCCACGTGATCTGTCAAATACTAATGCATGAAAATCCTAACCTCAAAAAAATCACCCGTTACATACAATTACTCTAACTTTTCACTTACTGTTTTTTCGTTACCTAATTGTTCCCCTAAAAAACCACGATGTTAAGCTGTTGGCTTTGAGAAGTGGGTTAACTAAGCGAACTAGAGTTAGTTCAATCAATTTCAATATATGTACGCTGTCGAGTAATGAGGTTGCTTTCATTTATGTGTTTTAGTATTTTCTTCTCGCTTTTCCAAATTAAAACGTTTTTTCAAATGCTAGAATTATGTTACGCGAATACTTCTCCACTAGCTGCATTTTTTTGTAAGCGAGCGATAAAAGAACGCTCAGCTCGGGTAAAATTTCCTTTTAGCTACTTAAGCAACCCTGCTGGTGGCTGGTAGGAAACATGTGATTAGTTTAACGGGTTTTAGATACAAAAACCAATTTAAATGAGTAATTATGCGAGGTATTTGCGTAATGTATATACTTATTTATAATATAACTCATGTATATATGGAAACAAAAATTTAATTAATTTAATTAGTTTAAATTTAACGCTATGTCAACGAAAAATTTAGGAAGACATTTAAAAGCAAAACATTCTGATTTCCACTTTGGGTATACCTTAGACAGACATCAAGTATATTCTGGTAAATTTATTGTGGTATTTAAAATACTACCATAGTGACAGAAATTAACTTAGTATTTCAGTGTCAAATCATATGTTCCTGAAGAACAACATATAGACATAAAAATGCAAAAAATATTGCAAAAAATTGCTTATATATTGCATCAAAGCTTGCGGTATAAACTTTTGGCTTCAATCGCGCGAAAATTTCAATGATTTTTTAATAAATGAGCAGCAGACATCCGTAATTTTTGGGTATGTTCAGCGCGAAATGCCCATTCACAATGATAATACCACAAAATTACAAGCTTCGGAAAGTTGTATTCTTTCTATAAAAAATAAAAGGTTGCTCACGTAGTCTTTTGAAGAATATTATAATATATGGTGACCCAAGACTCTTTCAGAGACACAGATTCAAATGTGTGAAAAATAATCTGACAAAGATTTCAGGTGATTTACAAACATTTCATTTGGCAATTCATCACTTTCCTTGTAGAAAGTTGTATATAACCCTTTGGCTACAGCCCCCAACAACACATACCGGTTGTATGTAGGTATGGCACTCAGTACGGCAATCATACCAACTACGAGTACATATGTATACTTGAAAATATATAATTGCGTCTCGGTCAAGCTATTTATAGAATTTTTCCTTCTGTATGCAACTCAAACCGACCGCTTTGCTTATTCATACCAAAATTAATTTCGTAGCACCCTTGGCTTCCGCGGAACCCACCTTAGGATGTTTAATTGACTTCCAAGATATTTAATTTCTATCTACTTAGTAAAAGATAATTCATACAATAGTGGGTTCTCTTGACTATTATTTCGCAAAAGTTCTACATTCTTTAAAAACGACAGTTAAATGGTTAAAATGTTCCACAAAAATTCGCCCTTGCCCATATGCCCAGATAGCTGGTAGTCTACCAGGCGCAGCCGAACGTTCCTGATGATGACTCTGAAGTCGAAATATAGACGATTTAAAAACAACAAAGACAGATTGTTTTATTTCAACCCGCCCTTGAGCTCAAAAAAATCAACAGAATCTTCAATTAACGGCCAAATATAAATAAACAATTAATAATTTTCTTCATAAAAAGTTATGAAAAAATAACTGCTGCTTCCGTAGATATTGCAACACACGGAAAATATGTAAGGATACAGCTATAAGAGCCACCGCTGTATGTATGTATGGAGGTGCGCACACTACACCAATTTGATAGCTCCGACCAATTAGTTATGGTGCTATGGAAAGACTAGCACCTCAACTAAATCGGTGGCCGATAAAGTCCGCGCTGTGCGATTGATCTAAAACATTTTAAACAAGAAATATTGCCGTCATATTTTCGTTTTTATGGTTTTTAATCGCGTGATTAGCAGTGGCAAGAATGTATGTATTAAATAAAATGTATATTAAAAATTAAGTGATCAGTTATGAAATATATAAATCTTTAGATGTTCTGTTAAAAAATATCTAAAATAACAAGCGAAAAACCCCAAGTTCTTTATCATAGCAGTGGCCACATTGCGTGTTTGTCACAGACACGGTTTATGTCAAAAATTTTGAAGTGAAACTACCTTCTAAAAATTATTGTATCATGGACTCCCATAATAAAAAATTAATGCATACATATTTTGTTCTGATGAGATACTGTAATCGATTCATCTTTGAAATTTCTACACAACATGGAAGAAGAGGTAGTGATACTTTCTGCATACTTACTCAAAATATATATTTTTTTATTATGACATTATTGAAGTAAATGAGCGATAAATTTTACACATGTACATCCATAAATATCGCTGCCTAACGGTGAAAAGGTGGAAGTTCTTTTTTCAAAGAATATTAACGTATTCAATAGTTAAATAAATAAAAATTTAGTTTTCGATGCAGAATGACAGATAGTGCGAAATTACACCGATTTTTCGTCTCTTCTGAATAATTTAAAACAATGGAATTGGCACCTTTTCACCTTTAGGTAACGATATGAATATTTGCGGAAAAGTTCTTGAGGTCTCCTACACCGAAAAGTTTAATAAGTCAAATGACTTTATGTGCGACATCAAAAATTGGATTTTCTATTCCTGAAAAATTTTAAACTGGCGCTTACAAAGTTATTTGCGGCGAAGATTTATATTTCAACAGTTTGCTCACAATGCTGTGCGTTATTCGTTGAGGTTGTTACAGATTTTATAAAGCCATTTGAAAAGAAGCAAATTGAACTACAAATATACAAAACTAGCACCTTACTTTAAGTCAAGAGAGTGTACTTTGTTGAAAGGCCCTATATATATACATATGTAGTGTTTACAAAATATATAATTTCTGACCATAATGATTTCATTAGTTATATAAGGCTTTTTTCTATTACTTAAGAAGTACATAAATGCTTCATACATGTACATATATAATTTTGATATAAATATGTAAAAATAGTATGTCTAAAACATATTACCTTGGCTTCGCGTATCAAACGTCCTCCGGCAATGTTGACATTTTCGACCTTAGGTTTTCGTTCTTCTGCAGCCTCCAATAATTTCTGGTTAATTTTGTAATTGTTAATTTGCTGGTTAATTAATGTGTCATTTACACAGTCAGATAATTTGTATATTAAAGGGAAATTTTTAAATATTATTAAACAATAAACATACATACATATTTAAGCAGTTTTTCTAAGAAACTGAGTTTATTCCCAGTTTTAGTACGTATTTTATTTTTAGTTTAGAAATAAAAACTTTTTTAAATAAATCGAGCCTGAACCGCGAAAGTGACATAAACTATGCAGATTTACATTTTGATGCAGATGTGCTAAGGGCATTTCTGCATTAAAATTAAAAGTTGATTAAAAATACATCGTTTACGGTATTTTCGCGGTTAGCGCTCGATATAGCGTAAAGTAAACTTTGGGATTTATAGATTTTTGTTTGTATTTATTCCATATATATTTCCATTTCGCAGGAAGTTTGTTTATAGGAGTGCTTAACAATATTCTGAAGTATACATATGTGCGTACATATATGTATGTAAGTGAAATTTATAAATTGAAAAAATACCAAGTACAAGTTCAGCATAGAAAACAGAAATTAATTTTTTCCAAATATGTACATATGTATGCTGTTACATTGACTTTGATTAAGTCCTAACCTTATTCCAGGGGGACAGTTAAAACATTATTACGCCATGTGCGTGTGGTTTTAATGTTTCAGCTAATTCTATTAGTATAAACATTTAATTACATAGGCTTTTAATATATCGTAATGGCACAGGCTTTTTGAGGGAAACGTGGAATGCATATCAGAAAAAAAGGATGCGAAAGGAATCAAGTCTAATTTGAAAGTTTACATAAAGTTGTTTTTCGATAAATTTGCATTACCAAGCTACTATAGATACTTGTTCTACTACCAATTTTTTAAACTATATGGAATATGCATACATATATATCGGGTATGGAAAAGTACGCAAGTATTTTCCGATTTTTAGAACTATTTGATTGAGACAAGACTACTTGTTTTATTACAAAATACGATTTTATGGAAAGTTACGTCTTTATTGTTACTGCTTTCCTTGGCCATTATAAAAATGATTTTTATAATGGTTCTCGAAACAAAAATCTGAATTCGCTGCAATTTATCAGTTAGAGCGGGTTGAAAATTCGTACCTCGAAAATCGCGGTTTTGATCATAAAACTTTTAGCTGGGACCCCGTTTAACACTAATTACACTTGATGATAGATAAAAGTAATTTTAAAAGATTAAAATTTAGCACCAGGTTGACCGAACTTTGCCGGGAGTGCATATCCTTTTTAAAGTTTTCAAGGTTTGGATATCAAATACTTTGGATAACTTTAAAAAAATATTTTTGAAAAAAATGGACTTCTGTATCTATTAAGTAAATTTTTTACTCAAAAAATTAGGGGGCAACCCTATTCCGAAATACGCTGGAATGAATGGCACATATCTTGAGCGTATATGTACGATGTGTATACACACAAAAATGCTGATGGAAATAAAACCAAACAAAATAAAAATGTGTATTACATAGAAGCGTGGCAACGGTGATCGAAAATATTTCCTGATCAAAGTCCTCAACAATAAATTTCATTTTCATTTGGATACCATACCATTTTGTATATAGGGAAAGCATTGTTTAAGAATCTTCTCTTGGTACCCATTAATAGTAATAATTTACCTTTTTTTCTAAACAAAAAATTACATATGCGATTCAAAATAGGTGGTAATCCTATTACAAATATTTTTGGATTTGGGGGTCTTTAAAATACCTTACGTTTTATGCCCATATTATGATGCTTTAATTAATTTGTAACTAATTTCGAATAGTGGCAACCTTATACGAGTCTTCTCGGAGATAATGCCTGTTTAGATAACCTTAAAATCCAAAACATTATCCGTGTACAAAATTTTATCAAAATAGTTCGAGCCGTTTCCGAGAACCCTGTGGATATATATATACTAGAGCTCTAGATACCCGGGTATCGAGCAATGCGAGTAGCTCGATACTCGCTCGAAACTCGTTCATTGCTCAACTGCTCAAATGTTTGTTCAAAATTTTCGAGTTTTTGAACAATTTCATAAACAACAGAAAATTTGTAAATTATATTTGTCAGCAGCTGCTTTCATGTTAAATAAATTATATTATTAAATACCAATGTAACAATCCTTGCATTATATATCAATAATTGAAAAATTTAAAAAGTTTCTACCAAAAATGTCAATATAATAAAAAAAACATTGCTCAAATTACTCGAAAAAACTCGAATTGCTCGAGCTCATGCTCGAAAATTTTCGAGTAATGAGCATTGAACAAGTGTGCGAGTACTCGCTGCTCATATACCCGGGCTGTTTGAAAATGTGCGAACAAATCGAGAGCTCTAATATATACATATATATACACAAGAATTGCTCGTTTAATGTAATAAGATTACATATATACTAATTTACAAGTTTTAAAAACATGTCTCATGCAAACTGAAACAACCGCTAATTTTCCAGTTAAAGGTATCATGGGATTACATATCATCCGCCATCATTCCTGACTTTCCTTAAAACAATTTAGGTCAACACATGATTTTTCGTGGCCTAGACAGATACGTGATATTAAAATTTTTCATGAAAACAAACTTATGGTTATTCTATTTACGATTACTTTTCAAAGTATTTCTTTTGCGAAAACTCGCATAACTCTGTAGTTTCTTGGAAGTTATTCATTTCCGAGGTGTTATTGGAAAGATATTTTCTCTATTATTTATATCGTTGAAACAGTAACCTATTCACATCTCACAATTTTTCGGAAGAAACTGAGAAGCTTAAATATACAAACTGCTTTACGAAATTTCATCAAATTGCAACGAAAACTTATATAAAAAAAGAGAAAATACTTATGTATATATTTTTAAACATGTTTTTGGATTTTTGAAAAGTTTGATGCATATTTCTTTCATTTAAATATATTCGTAAATATTTTAAATCCCTTTTGAGGCGAAAAAGTTCCGTGATATAATATTTTTTCCACGACAAACGCGATTTTCAAGGGCATTTTCAACCAGGCCCAGCTTACGAATGACGCTGAAATATTTCGATGGACCTTATAAAGTTCATTCAATTTTTACTTCACTAGGAAAGGGAACAAATTTTTCTTTGTTTGGCACGGAGGTTTCGAGGAAACCATAATTTTAATCTGAAATGGTTGAGAGTTTTTATTTTTTCAAAAATATCGCTTCAGTCATCTAAACACAAAATTTTTTATAGTAGAGCGTGTCCTATAATTTACGAAAGATTTAAATTAAACGGAAAACACAGTTTTTTACAACAATTTTTTTTTGTTTTAACACAAAGTACATGGGATATGGTTAGGTCTGGAATAGCACATCAGGCAAATTGTGGCCACGTCTTTGCTGGTACATACGCAAAAGTGAATGCTGATTTTTCGAGCAAAATCGTCCAAAAAAGTCCTAGTCGTCCTAATTGATATATTTAGGGTTCAAAAAACCCTAATGTGAATGTCGAAAAACAAATGCAACCGCAACGTACCAGTGTCTGGTTTAGATTTTGAGCTGGAGTTGTCATTTGACCATCCTTTTTTGCAAATCAATAAAATTTCGACGAAATTGTGCTGATTTTCCACCAAAAGCATATGTACGTCGCTACTGCACCTTACCTGGTGTATGTGTTATCTGAGGGGATTTACACACTTCCAAAAACCAAAAATGGACCCGAAATCCAAAAAGTGCAGTAACTGCGGTGGAAATCACACTGCTAATTATAGAGGTTGTTCAGTTTATATCTCAATGAAAAAGAAAACAATTCCCAAAAATATTCCTATTAGGCATAACCCCATACCAGAAATCACTAAGCCAATGCCGGCGCCAATGGCTGTTAATAATTTTACTTCTTATACACAAACGCTGAATAACACTCCTTCGACACAACCTCTTTCTGGTCAGAATAGTACTAATCTAGCTACTGCAATGCAGAGCATGGTACAAGATTTGATTGAAAATCACAATCAATTACTTCAAGCCATTTTAGCTAAACCACGAATAATCTCAAAAATTGTTTTTAGAATACGAGCGGGCTAATTCAGCATAAAAACGAACTAGAAAGTTTCCTAAAGCGCTATCATATAGAGGTTTTGCTTGTATCTGAACAATTTAATAACTTTCAAATTAATGGATACCAATTCTATGATACTAAGCATCCACAAGAGAAAGCCCGAGATTCAACAGCCATTCTTTTTCGTAACAGAATAAAGCACTATGAATTAGAATCGCAAAGTGTCGAGTTCATTCATAATACTGCAATACACACTGATGACAACTTGGGTGGCCTTACTGTATCTGCTCGTCATAACATAACAGAAAAACAGGAGATTACATTGCCAAACATACATACTGGGGGTCTAGATTGATTACACCAAAGGGTGGAAATCTATATAAATTAATCCAGAACAGAGGATTTGACGTATTGTTTACTGGTCAGCCAACGTAATGGCCATCTGACCCCCAAAAAATACCCGATCTTATTGACTTTGGTGTAACAAAAGGTATTGCGGGACACCGAGTTAATACTGAAGCATTATTTGATCTCTCTTCAGATCATTCACCCTGTCTCATAACATTATCAATGTTTATTAATTATGAAGAAAAATAAAAAAATCTTACAAATAAGCACACAAACTGGTTAAAATACAAAAAGTATGTCAGTTCGCACATTGACCCGCAAATTCCTATTCTGACCAAGAGTGATATCGACAGGGCAGCTGAAAATCTCACTGATATAATAGTTAAGGCCGCAGGAATTGCAACACCAAATCCTTCTATTAAATATCGCAGTTCTTACTGCCCTGGGCTGCACACCCCAAACATTCTTAACTGAATAACTAAAAAGCGCAAATAAAGAAGGGAATGGCAAAGAACTCGCTCTCCTAAGCTTAAACAGGAGCTAAATGCGTTTATAAGGGAATTACGTATTTTGTGGCAGGCGGAAAAAAAGAAGTACGCAGTCCTTGTCTGCTTCGAAACAGACAGACTACTCCTTTTGGCGAACACTG